ATTAATTAAAAAATAAATATTAAATAAAATTCTCTTATTTTTAAAATATTCCTAAATTCAACTTAAGCTTAAAAACCAACTGAAATATATCCCACATTCCTTTGTAATTTATTCAATTCCCACATAATTATCCTTGAGGCAACCCTCGCTCACACACACACACATGCACCCGTCTTTCTCCTTTTCCATGTGTGTGTGTGTGTGTGTGTGCAGCACTTAAGTGGAATTGAGTGCGGAGTGCGTTGTCCTCATTCGAAGCTCGTTGCGCAAATCCTGCTCGAAAAGACAATACAAAAACTACCGCACTAGGTAAGGAGTACATGTACTGTAGTGTATCCTTAAAGCTGCTTTTTCGAAAGCAGAAGCATTAAGCCGAAATAGCATTATGACCCGCAGCTATTTGACCACAAGTAGGGCAAGGTGCACCCCGCTCGTTGGGGAAATGCAAGTTCGCTTGGAGATTGACAGGTTGTGTGGTCTAATTAACAGCAAACAAAGGGTAGAAAATTGCAGAGAAACCCCCCACAATCGAAATATGTATTATGGCCAGAGAAAGAGGGGCAGTAAACAAGCTCCCGAAGGGGGGTTATTAAGTGCACTGAGGGAAAGCGAGCAATTATTATTTGCAAGAAGAGTTTTTAAATGGTTATTAAGTGGGGATAAGAATACGAATATTCCAAATATTAGACCAAATATTCATTTATTTTCATATTTTTTCATGTTCTGCCAAGGCCTCCTCCCACCTCCCACCTTCCACCTCCCTCCTCCTCTGTGTCAACAAGTCCAGCTAAATGATCGCTATTTTAATATGCAAATAATACCTCTGGTAGCCCCCCATTTGGTTGAATTTATTGACTTTATGCAAGCCCAACAAAAGAACATTTAAACGTGGGTTGGAAAATGGAAAGCGGAATTATGCACAATTATTTTGGCATTGGCATTTTCTGACCTACCTCGCTGCCGCTGCCCTTACGTGCAATTTAATTGAAAGGGATGGCTGCAAGGGGTGGCTGCAAGGGGTGGCTGCGTGGGGGTGGCTAGTTAACGGTAGCAATTATAGGACAGCAAGGAGGCAATCTTGAAGGACTTGCCGCAACAAAGGACAGAGGACAAAGGACAATGTGTGTGTGGAATAAAGAGGGAATTGTGCTGTGTGGCTGGGCAATTAAGTGGGTGGGTCCAAGCAGGGTTGTCAGAGTTCCCAAAAAAAAAAAATTTTAAGAAAAGTTAAGAAAACTCGGGGAAACCTACTTTCACAGAAATTATGTAGTTATCTGCCGCTAATGCAATAACACTTGTTGTGTAATCCCATTTTCCATTTTCCTCTTTATTAATTATACGACGGCCGGATTATGCTTGAAGCTTATGGTGATTTATGTATGACTTGCACTCTACCCACAGCACATTCCAGTGGATTACATTACCTATTATCCTGAGCCCAGGGTCCTTCGCTAATTGCGCTTATTATGCTGGCAAGGAAATTGCAAAAAAATAAAAAATGAGTAGAATGATGGAGGGAAAAGCGCAGGAATGAAATCTGAAATGAGCAATCCAATGGCTTCGTGGCCATGTCACATAAACTAACAATATTGTGGTTATGGTTTCTATCCCTCTCTATATATATCCCTGCTCCTTGCTCTTACTAATACATGTTGAGCTTGTATAGCAGCTACCTTTCCCCTTGAACATCCTCCATGAACTACTGTTGCAGCTGCTCTGCTGCTTCTGCTGCCTGTAAAGTATCAGCAGGATACTAGTCGCTTTTACATCGCTAGAGAATCGAGATACTCGGGACAAACCTTGATGGGCAAGTGTTTTTTATTTATTTTTTTAAAGTGAAACAAGGTTTTTAATAATTAATAACGATACAATTTAAACAAAACTAGTTTACAAGTGAAAACAAAAGGTTAAAATGTATTTTAAATAATTAGAAATTGACACAATTGAAACAGAAAACGTAGGCTGCTAGTATCAATCACTGACATAACTCACTTGAATGCCCATCCAACGGAGATCCGGCTTAGCTCCAGCTCCCTTTTTTTCCAGCTTTTCCAGCTCGGAAATTGACAATTGCATCGCTCCAGCTGTCCAATGGCAAAAGTGAATTGGTTGCTGCCGTAAAATAACCCAACAATCCTTGTTATGCCCTCCCCACACACCAAATTTGATTGCAACTTTATGGCAGTGCTCCGTCGCTCCGTCGCTCCGACTGGGATTCGGATTCCGATGGAGATTCGGATTCAGATTCTGCATTATGCAGTGACTGCCATGTGTGTGTGTGTGTGTGGGCTGGGGGCGTTGCCACACAATCCATGCAAATTTGAGTCACATAAACGGGCATTTAAATTGGGAAATATTCAGCCATTTGGCAGTAATTTCATGAAATTACAATGAAAATTTCAACTGAAAAATAAAGTATAAAATCGATAAATTAAATGTAAAATTAAATATAAAATATTGATAAATATTTGCAATCACCTGAAACTTCTTGTTAAGTAAATATATTTTCCCTTTCGGGAAAACTTTAACTGATTTCAATCTTTAAATACCTTTACCTTTTTTTTCCAGGTAGGCGTACAATTTCAGTTTCAGTTTCGGTTTCCTTTTCTTTTTTTTTTCAAATTAAATAAACTGTCCTCTTAACCGCCAACAAAACGGACGGGGAAGTGAAAACACATTTATCTCGATTTTCACGCTGTCAGCGGCAACTCAAAAAGGCGACAGTTTGTGAAATAAAAAACAAAAAGCAAAGCAAACCGAAGCCTGCACAAAGTCAATTTCAAGATTTATTTTTCACAATTTAACATTTCTGTTACGCCTGTCAGCCGGGAAAAACAAAACGAAATACAAAAAGCCAGAAAAAAAAAACAAAGCAAACAGAAACCGCCGAAAGAACAAGGAGAAATCCTGCCAGGCAGAAGGTGAATGCGGTTAAGAAAATAATAATAAATTAAAAGCTTGTGCCCCACAGCTAAAAGGTCAAATATTTTCAATAACACAAAGAAAAACGAAGAGAAGAGGAGGAAAAACCAGAAGGAACACAGGGAAATCGGCGGAGAATCGTCCCCCAATGCGATTTGGAATTGTAATGAAGGGCCAAAGGCAGTGACGCCGATTTTGGGGTGGGAAAGGTTTTACCTTCCAAGAATTACCTGGTATTTCAGGCATATAAGCTTTATATAATACACTTTTCAGGCTATTAATAAGATAAAAAATAAAAATTTAACTAATTAAAGTCAGAAAATAATATTAAAAACATTTTCAAGCTTACTTATTGTCTTGTTTTTCAAGAAAATCCCCTATAGAGAGCTCAATATAAATGTTAAAAATCGATAATAAATGAAAATGTAATCACAGATGAACAGGAAATTAAAAACCGATACACCCTTCGCTGGCCATGCCGATAAAGAGTGCCGAAAGGCAAGTTACAAATTGCGTTTTCAGGGGGGGATTTTTCAATTTCGCCGCCAAAGATGGAAGTTCTTCCGTCGCCCAGTTCCACCTCGCCGTTTACTTTGTACTCGAATTTGTTTTTGACCCCGGGCTGCACAAAGGGGGCGTCACAAGTCCAAGAGTCCAAAAATTCAGTGTCCCTTCTCGCGTTTTCTTTTTTTTTTTTTGTATTTTCATTAATAATACATTTGTAGCAAGCCGGAAACGGAAATGCGCGTTGGATGGCAGCCCGGAGCTAACTTTATTAGTTGGGGAATATATGTACGCAGCATTGTATATTTTGGCATTTTTCAGAAATTAAATTCCTCAGAGTTTCGCTGCTCTTCGTCTCCCACTTCCACCCACCCACATGGGAATCCAATTAAATGCCCTGCTAATCCTGGGAAAAGTGCGGGAAATCACAGAAAATCCCCACTGTCGACTGCTTAAGTCAATAGAGTAGTAAATGAAGCCTCGGCCTTATCATGCAGCTGCCATCGTGTACACTGTCAGAAAAAAAGAGGAGTCTCTTACATGCACCTAATATTGAAAGTGAAGGCTTCAGAAAATATATCTAAAAAAATGTTAGAAATGTATCAAGTTACTCACTCAAAGATTTACTTCTTACCAGAAAACTCAAGTAACCATTTCCCAGCTAAACCTTATTTCTCCCTGTGTAAAACGCAATCTCCGCTCCTCTGGTTAGTCACAGCTTAAAAGCTTGGATAATAAAAACTGGAATTATGCGTGAGTGTGTGCCAGGGTGGCAATCCAAATGGAAATTGGCATGTGGGCGGAGATGGAAATTCCGTTGGAAATCCAGATGGAAATCGAGCCAACAAGGAGGAGGTGGTGCAGATGCCGCCTGCCTCTTCTCCCTGTTGCTTGCGGCAATTAAACGATAAGCGTAATCGGTGCTGTCAATTCGCACGAAATGCGTCGAAAGTCGTGGAGGATTTCAATTAGCCGCCACGAAAAATTCCAACCGTCCTCGAGAACTATCTCCGCAGTGTTTCCTTCCAACCCCCTTCCTGCTCCTTTGGCCTTTGCGCATATTTCATGACACGCACACATACACACACATCGAGGAGAAAAGCGCCCTGGGTGGGTGGCGGGTGTGGTGCGCCACTAAGTGCGGCCAATTAGCACAAAGGCTGAGGAAAGTGTTTCCGTTTAGAAGATGAGAAAAGCGAGCACCTCTCAAGTGACAATTTGCTTAGCGCTTCAATTTAGATGCGAGCCGAGGGCCCAGCACCGAGTGGTGAGTGGTGAGTGGTGAGCTGGAAAAGCAAAAGCTAGTGACCTCGACCGAGAAGGAACCACATGCCCACGGAGTGGCTGTCCGTCAAGAGCCGAACTAGACAAATGGTAAAGTTGGTGGGCTCGAGACACGCATATGTAAAATGGCCTAGACCCACCTAGAGTTAATGTTTGCTCTCGTTTCTTGAAATATTTTCAAGTCTATAAAGTAATTATTTAGGTATAGAATTTATAATACTGAAAGAATATACTGAACGAATTCTCAGTCAAAAAAGTCACCAATCACATCAGCTATATCTATCTTACAGGGTTCTATCACGCAAACTAAAGCCACATCTTGTTGCGGACACCGTTAAGCAGTATATAAGTCGGGCCCAACGCACAACCAAAAAGGGTTCTCAAGAGCAACAAAATAACATGGAGTTTTTACGCGGCGTCTATGCGTTTATGCAAGTGAGTAGATCATCGGTGAGTGTCAACTGTTTCCTTTATAACAACCGTACTAATCCATGTGAACTTGCTCTATTTTTATACCGCCTTTGGTTGATTGATTGATTATACCATACCATACTCTACTCTACTACAACAACTCAACTCGAATCAAAAATATATATATATCTTAATCTCTCAAAAACCAAAAAAAAAAAAAAATAATAATAATAAATCGAATTGAGTAAAAAACAAAACAAAAAACGCAAAGCAAAAAGCGAATCGAATATGTTATCACTACCTTCTACTATCTACTTATTTATACTACTACTACTACTCTACTACTACTACCACTTTTATAAGCGTAACCAAAATGAGAACCAAGCAAATACCAAGTAAAGAAAAAACGAAAACGAAATCAAATAACCGAGAGCCATATGTTAACGCCAAATGTATCCCACACTGTAAATACTGACCCAAAGAAACAACTCCACCTCAGCCCCATGTAAATCGACCTTGAAAGCACTTCGGACCTTGACAGATGCCCGAAGGATCTATGTGGACCCACGGACTCGAGCAATCCCCATATAACCAATAAGCATCGTCGAGCAATAATAAGAAAGAAGGGGTCTACCCCGAGAAACCAAGAAACCAGACCGACCATTATTCCATCCCAGTCAAAAAGTAATACTCGTCCTTCTACTTACCTTTTGCTTTTACTTTTCTAAAAACCACCCACCACCCCGTCATTCATTTTGTTTGTGTTTTGCGTTCAGTGGCCATGACTTTTACCCATTGCCATTCCATATAGATGATAACAATGCGAAATGCAAATGAAAGTAACAAGAATAACAATACTCGTAATAATGTACTTACCGTGAGAACATTCTCTTCAAAAGATCACAGAACAAAAGACAAGAACCAAATGAACATTCACATAAATTGCAACATGAAAAGGTCATCATCTCAAAGACAAAAAAAACAAAAAAAAAAAAAAAGGCGCTGAAAAAAAATGAAATTAATATGCAAAACATTCATCAAGTAGGATTTTAAACAAGAAACAAGACGACAAGCGGCCCGAGAAAAAGAAAACCTAAAGAAAAACAAAGGACAGTCTCAGGAAAATGAAAAAGGGACTGTCCCTGTCACTCTCTGCCCCACTCACTCTCTGCCCGTCTCTTTCTTGCCTCGCCTCGCCCTATCCACCCGTCTCTTTCGCGGCCGTGGCGAAGTTCTCATCGAGACCCATTCTAAGCCCATTGTCCATCAACAACCATTGTCCATCCAATATTCCCATATCCATCTATCTTTCTCTCTCTCGGCCCACCTCTGGAACTATCTATCTCTCTCTCTCTCTCTCTCTGTCCCTCTATCTCTTTCAAACATACACTCAAAAGATACACATACGTCTCTACCTCTCTGTTTGCGTCTCTTTCTTTGTTGAATTGATTATTGTTTATAATTGGCTGTGTAATCGATTGATTAGCATTGAATATACATATATATATATATATATATTAATGTCTGTAATACTATATCTATGTCTGTCTCCCTCTCGCTGTTTGTGTGTTCGTTTGTTTGTTTGTTTAATTGTTTTTGTATCGAAAGTCAAAATTTTTGCCATAAATTTAAGCCATTTTTGAGTTAAGCTCTATCTATAGAACTCTTTGATTGTGTGCGTGTTAGCCCCACCACAAGAACACTGGAAATGACACACACACACACTTTTTAACATTGAAAAGACACACAAAACTCTATCTCCCCTGCGTCCCTCGATCCGTAGATGTTTCAGGGTGATCTATATAACTAAAAACAAACAACCCAAATGCTCTATATATTCTATATACCGAAACCGATACCGAAACCGAAACCGTATTAAATCCCAATCGAAACGAAACGCAACGATATGTACCTAAATGAACGCACCGAAGGTCGACTACAGCGGAAACGGATACGGAAATGCCAACGGCAGCAGCGGCGGCTATGAGACAAATGCAACCCTGACAACCCTGTCCAGCGATTATCCAGAGCCGGAAGCGATTCCCACCAGCGGAAGCGGAAACGGCAGATCGATAAACGATAACAACAAGGAGCCCGAGGCCACGACGGCAACAGCCGAGGAAGCCGAGGCCCCCTGGCCAAATCAAATCGCATCCAGCTCCAGTTCCATCGCCAGCTCCAGCGCCAGCGCCAGTTCCAGCTCCAGTTCCAGTTCCAGATCAGATCCTGCCCAGAGAAAGCGAAACCAGATGCTGGCCCCAGCAAAGACATCGACGAACCCGACCAGAGACAGTTGAGAGTGCGGCAGAAATAATGGCAATCGGTGCCAGATGCGGTGAATTACGAGAAAGAACTATGAACTACGATCAAATAATGCTAACGAATGTGATAACTCGTATGTACATATAGCCACGTATATATCCAAGTATATAACAAAACATATTTACAATCGAACTGTTAAGCCGAATCAAATCGAAACGAAACGAAACGAAACGTAACGGAACGTGACGCGATAACTCTTAGCACCAGCAACTATAAATCCAAAAAATCGAAATCAAAAATATCTAATCGTAAAGTATAAAGAGAAATCAAATGAAAACAGGGCAACTCGTGAAAAGGTGGCCTTAGCTTGTGCGACTGAACAAAAATATATGAAAGCAATTCATCGATAACCGATAAGCAATAAAAACGATCAACGAATCAGCGATCAATCAAAATAAAAGACGAATAAGTTACCCAGAATAACGATAGCAAGAGCGAGCTCAACAAAGGCGACGCGCAGCGGCGGCGGCAGCGGCAGCGATATCAGTTATCGATAGCCGATTGACTGGCTCTGTACCACTGCTGGCGGTGTGTGTGTGTGTGCGTGTGTGTGCGGTGCCGCCCATGCGGCCACGCCCATCCATCCCCACCCCCCGCCAAAAGCAAAGTGATAGAAAATGGTAATTACAACTCAAGCAATTCTAGTTCTCATTTAAAAACTCACCACCCAACTCTCACCCGCTCCCCCCGATAAATATCGATACATTCAGCTCGGTCTCTGTCGATCTCACCTTGAAGGGAGCTATTTCTGTCTCTCTCGCTCTCTCTCTCTCTCTGAATACCTTTGTGACTCTCGAAGAGAGTCTCCCGTCTCCCGTCCCCCCGCCCAGTATCTTTCTCTTTCCGTCTATTTTTTTTCAACCACACTTGATCTGCGCCTTGTTTTTACACAATTATACTGCATACATATAATATATCGTTATACCGTAGTTGATTAGCTCAAATTGTGCTTTTTGATTTATCGTTTTGTCATTAATCGTTTTGAGTTCAACCTCGATGTCGATTCCCGATATTAGCTGCACTAAGCAATGTTTTTCAGTTGTCTTTTCCTTATCCTTGCTTTGGCTTTGTCAACTCTACCCGTCTCTTTATATCTCTCTATCTATCTCTGTTACTTTTTGATTGTTTCTTTTTAATCGATTAGAGCGCGATTCCAGGAAAAGAAGCAGAAACAGAAAACAGAACAGCTAAAACCAGAACAGAAACAGAACAATTCAGGGGATGCAAATTCCAGAAATAATAATCGATATTTTATCAAAAACGCAGCCGCACCGCGCCAAAAACAAACCTCAAAATAAATAACGAAATGAAAAACAGAACCTATAAACCGACGAAAACAGATTGCTCGCCTGCTACCACACAATATGCTGTCAACGTCTTCGTATAAAATACAACCAACAAATTGTTAATAAACTATAAATAAGAAACTAAATATATATATCAAGCAATAAGAGTTGAAAACTTACAGTATTGAGATGATCCCAAGCTGAAAACCAAATCAAATTTAATACAAAATGAAGTTGTATCAATGTCTCCGTATCCTTTTGATGCCCTGTGCCAACTTGAGTCTCCTTCTGTCTCTCTCTACCTCTTGATCTCTCTCTCTCGCTCTCTCACTCTCTCTCTATCTCTCTATTGTAACTCTGATCTGAACACTAGCCCCACAAGGACACACAGTTACAGACACACACACACACACGCAGACTTTGTAAAAGTATAGTAAAGTGTTGCGAGTGCCTGGCGATAACCGATAACAATCACGATAAACATTACGACAACGATAAGCTGGCAAAAGAATGAAGGAAATCAACCAATGTTAACTTTTCAGTTGATTTCAATTATGATTTTTCACATCTATCAATAACGATGACTATTTATGCGTATCTAACTAAGTAAAGCAAACTCAAATTAAGTAGGTCAACCGAAATGCAAGCGATAACTATCGAAAACTAGCAAGGATGTGAGGATCCGCCGAAACTTAACTGCAAACCAAATATAGCCCTCTAAATAGCTCTATTGCCGCGTATATGGTGTACTGTGTAAATGTATATATTTTGCCAAAAATCGAACGCGACTGAAAACGTAAGAAAAAGAAACCGAAACACATAAAAGCAAACTTGAAATTGAGCAAACTTGAAACAATCCTATTCATGTGAAACTATTATCGCCAAGAACCAAACAAAACCCCTCCGTATCTCTCTGTCTCTCTCTCTCTCTTTGTCGCTTTCTCCATATCTCTCTCTCTCTCTCTCTCTCTATTTATCTCTTTCTCTCTGTGTCCAGATAACCCTGAACCTGAAGCTTAGATAAATAAACCCAGATCTTCCACAAAACCTTTCTTAATATTCGATAAAAGACAAAAAAAAAACGACAGCAAAAGAACCTTGTAATTCCCAACCAGAAATTCTTTGACTCCCCCACACCGCGCACAGCCCAACAGAAGCTTTTGATTTGAGATGATATTTTGTTCCAGTAAAGCCCTCAGTTCTCTTACACCCGCCCAGCCCCTTAACTAGTAGTTAAAGCCGATCAATAAACCTCTATAAAACCCCACTACTATGCCAAATACCAAAAACAAAACCCAAACCAAATCAACAAAAAAAAATAAAACCAACTTGCACGTGTCTTAAGCCGTAAACTGTACGCAACAACTCAATAAATTGCAGTCTCTTGTGTTCTATAATATGCATACTCGTATCTATATCTATAATGCTACT